TTTTAATTTCCTGGCTGCTGGTGCCAAGAGCGCTGACCGTGGAACCGAGCAAACTGAAGCTGTGAACAATCTCAATCTCTTCGCCATCCATCCTGATTCTACCACTTGGTCCAGTGGCATGTTGTTAGGAGAGGTTATTCCTTAGAGAAGGACATCATGCTTGGAAAGGTGCAGGGTTAATGAAAGAGAGAAAGACCTTCAACCAGATGGGTTGACACAATGACTATTGCAATGGACTGGAGCATGTCAGAAAGGATGAGGATGGTAGAGGATAGGACGGAGTTCAGATCTGTTGTTCACAGGGTCGCTATGAGTCGTAGTAGACTTGATGGCACCTAAAAAGAATGGTATATGGATTAAAAATGAGTTAATTAAGCATCATGTCTGTGTCATGAATAGAATTGTGCGCGCCTGAAATGTATGTATGTAAATGCTTAGTGGTAAGGAGTTGTGCTGCGAACCCAAAGGCATATAGTTCAAATCCATCAGCTGCTCTTTGGAAGAAAGAATTCATTTGTATTCATTTGTATTGGGATTGCATTGAATGTGTAAACTGCCTTTGGTGGTATTGTCATTTTCATAATATTGAGTCTTCTTATCCATGAGCAAGGGATATTCTTCCACGTCTCCAGGTGACTTTTTGTTTCTTATAATAATGTTTTGTAATTTTCTTTGAACAGATTCTTTGTGCTTCTGGTTAGGTTTACTCCTAAGTATTTAACCTTGTGATTAGCTATTGTGAAGGGTATGTTTTTCTCAGCTCCAGTTCTGTATTCTCTTTGTCACTGTAGAGAAATCCAACTGATTTTTGTATGTTGATCTTAAATCCTGCCACTTTGCTGAATTGGTCAACTATGTTCAGTAGTTTTCTTGCTGAGTTTTTAGGGTTTTCTATCATATCATCTGTATTATATCATCTGTATAGAGAGATAATTTTACCTCCTCTTTGCCAATTTGGAGACCTCTTATTTCCTTCTCTTCTCTTATTGGTATCGCTAAGACTTCCATTACAATAGAGAATAGGAGAGGTGATAGTGGGCATCCTTGCCTAGTTCTTGTTCTCAAGGTGAATGCCTTTAATCTCTCTCCATTCAGAACAAGGCTGGCTCTTGGGTTTGTATATATACCAATATCCAATTTCATTTGGAATGGAAGGAGACCCAGAATAAGCAAAGTGCTCCTTAAAAGGAGAAACAAGGTAGGAGGCATCTCACTCCATGATTTAAAATCTTACTACACTGCCGTGGTGGTCAAGACAGCATGGTACTGGCACAATGACAGACACATAGATCAATGAAATAGAATTGAGAATCCAGATATCAGCCAATCTACCTAGGGTCAATTGATTTTTGACAAGGAGATGAAATCAGTTAAGTGGTGAAATGACAGCCTTTTTAACAAACAGTGCTGGCAAAATTGGAAAACTATCTGCAGAAAACTCAAGCAAGATCCACACCTCACTCCATACACAAAAACCAATTCAAAGTAGATTATGGACCTGGGACTAAAACCAAGTATTAGAAACTTAATTAAACAAAAGCTTGGAAGAACTCTAGAAGTCCTAATCCACAACATAAACAGTCTTCCACACATCCTGGAAAATCTACAACCAGGAGAGGATAAAATAGATAAATGAAACCTTCTAAGAATCAAATCCCTGTGCATATCCAAAAACTTCTCCAACAGGGTAAAAAGAGAATCCACAGACTGGGAAAAAATATTTGGTAATAACATGTCAGACAAGGGACTTGTAGTTGTTGTTGTTGTTATGTGCCATCGAGTCGCTTGTGACTCATAGTGACCCTATGTACAACAGCCCTAAACTCTGCTCTGTCCTGTGCCAATCATACTGTCTCCGACACACCCATCCCAATTACCCCAGTCACTGAATCAATCCACCTTATAGAGGGCCTTCCCCTCCTGTGCTGTCCCTCCACCCTCCCAAGCATGATGTCCCTCTCCAAGGACCAGTTCTTACTTACGAAATGTCCAAAGTATGTTAGACGGAGCC